AGACCCATAAGCCACTGAATCCTCTCTCAAATATTCCCAGAAACACCACATTCCAAAATACTTTACTCTGAAGAACTTCCTGCGAATCTAAATCCGTTACCTTTACTTTCCAGATACTGATACATAGAATCCCATAATTAACATAAATACCACAAGTCTTGACCTTTTCCAATGAAAATCAAGTCTCTAACCATATACACAACCTTAAGACACCTGATTGTTACATGTAGAATCTTGAACACGTTAATATCATTCTCGAGAGTCATTTACTTCTTATTCAAACTGCAATTCACCTGATCAAACGAACATAACCACCCGTTCCTCATTAGCACTCTGACACCGCAGGATATGACCTCATCCCAATACAAACAAACATCTTCCTGCTCCATGCACTGAGCATTCTTTACCAATAACAGCTTAAGACATCCTGTGATTCTCACACATCTACGAAGCACCATATAACCTTTGTCAAAATTTTGCTTCACTCGTGCCATCCTCTGCTCAATTTCCGCAACCAGAACTGATTCGCCAGCATGCCTCAAACCGAAACCAACATAGCACATAACCGTACAATTAGCTAAATCAATAGAAAAACTCCCCAACTTGGCTCGAAGCCACAGATCAAAACACTCCCAACAACTCATAACGCACATACTCCATTGTTGCCTTAATACCATAGTGAGATTAAACTCAATCCTTCATAACCTTGTGGAAACACAAATCATCTAGAATTTTTTTTTAACTCTTCTGCAAATCTTGCATTCACTCACACAACAGTTAAGCCCACTCTCTAGGCGATCCAATTTAGATGTCAACACATTTTCTTCACTTGTAAATGAGATCTTCTAATAGATAACATAAGGATCACACAACTTTAGAACACTCCGCAGGAGATGACCCACCTGCTTTGCCTCCAACTACCATTTCTGTATACCTTCCACACCGTCTTAAATTGTACGCAGTCGCTTAGTCTTCCTGAGTCTGAACTCATACCGCAACATAAAATTTTTACTTCGCTCTCAACTGGAAACATGAAAAAATTCTTCACGCGCCCATAACTCGGGCTATACCTCGAATTGCAATGGAATTCAAACACCTAATAGTTCTTCTATCATCCAGTAGTCCTTCCTCATCACCTCCAAGTCACATAGATGCACCTTGCAGCACTAACATACTCATCACGTAGCTAACCAGCCGTCACTCCCACTAATAGGGGCAATGCCAAACATATAAGTTCGAAACACTTGCTCACACAATCAGCACCTCGGTGCTCAAGCCATAGGAAAAGATCTAGCCTCAAGTCCTCCAGACTGGCCCAACATAAACTCACAGAGATTACATCTTGCCCCTCGATCGGGGAATCACAAGCCATCAAGGCACATCTGATACTGAGCGCTCATGCGCGCGTACGAACACGTGGAAGGAATTTCAAGAGTTTCTTTTCAAGCTGAATCAAGGACGCACGATAAGAATTCAAGAATGTGAAGTTTTCCTAAAGGTTCTGCAGCCTCTCGAGGATAAGTACAGACGTCTCCGTACCGATCCACGAGACTCTACTAAACCGGCTCATGACTCGCGAGACCAAGTAACCTAGGCTCTGATACCAACTTGTCACGACCCCAACCCCGGTCGTGATGGCGCCCAACACACTGCTAGGCAAGCCCGACCAATTCAACAACCTTAACCCTTTTTATACAGTTCATGATTCAATTAACACAAATAATTACTAAGTCATAATACTGAAACTCTGAAATATAATTAAAACATGCGGAAAACCCAAGTAGAAATACTACTACACAGCCCGAAGAATCCGGTGTCACAAGTCTGAGCCTCTAATACACGGGTGTCAACCTACTACATATTGCTCTAAAGAAATGCGGAAATAAAGCAAATAGGTTAGATGGGAAGATCAGGACTGCGGACGTCATGCAGCTACCTTGATGCTCCCAGATATGATGCTCGGCAGAGAAATCCTCACTCAGCCTCAGTGGGTGCACATAGATCTGCACACAAGGTGCAGGGAGTAATGTGAGTACTTCCAACCCAGAGAGTAATAAACATAAATAAGGGTTGAGAGTAAGAAATCCTGGATAGGCACAATGTAAGCTATAATTACAGCAGTTTAATCCAGATAATATCAACTCAATAAACCAATGAAAACAATGATGCTGCAACAGATAAGTAAATGAATGACAATCAATTAAGAAATGCAACAAATAGTACGGTACTCTTTAGTACCCACTGCGGCGTGCAGCCCGCTCCATTTATTTATCGTCGACGGCGCTCACTAGGGGTGTGCAGACTCCAGGAGGGGCCCCTTACGGTCCAAGCGCAATATCAAGCCATCTCGTGGCATCCATTAGGCCCTAAGCCTCATATCAATATCATATCAATATCAACTAAGCCCTTCGGGCACGATAATATAGAAATATTCAGCCCAAACTTCATTAGAAATATTATTTAAGTTCCAAGTTTTGAGAATAAGTGGCTGAGTTTGCAAAACAATACTAAATACTAGGACTGAGTTCAATTGTCTGAAAATATGGTAAGAAACCAGTAAAAATAATCCCTGAAGGATTCAATCAGTTGGCACGAGGCCAAATTATGACAATTAATCCATTTTTATAAGGATCTCACTAAGTTTCAATCAATTAGGTAGTAATTTTATTAAGAGGGACGGACCAAGTCACGATCCCCGACGGTGCTCTACTCCATGCCCGTTATCCGGCGTGCAAGTCACCTCAACATAGCACTACAATGTGCAAATTCGGGGTTTCAAACTCTCAACACAGCAGTTACATCTATTACTAACCTCAAGCCGGCCAAAATCCTAGCTCGCTATGCCCTTGCCTCTCAAATCGACCTCCTCGCGCGTCGAATCTGACCAAAACCACAACGAATACATCACATTATGCTATAGCATCAATACCCAATCGAAAATAATCGAAAAACATCAATAATCCCGAAACTGACAAAACCCGAGCCTCGGGTCCACTTCTCGAAACTCAGAAATTTTTACAGAAAAGTGTTCTTTATCTTCTCCCGATTCTGTACATATAAATAACATGAAAATCGGAGTCTGTTTGACCCCTCAAATCGACCCCTTAAGGTCTCATAATCTCAGGCCCCCAAATCCTATTTTTCTACTATTTTTTCATGAATTAAAGGCTGGGATTATGGTCTATAATCACCCATAAACTAGTTTTAATAATCAAATCACTTACCTCTGTGATACCCACTGATTTTCTCTCTTAAAAATCACCTCAAAAGCTTCTTCCCGTTCAAAAATTGGAAGAAAACTCGACCTGCTCATTATAGGTATACAGTTCACGCGTTTTACTGCTTCCAATGGATTCCTTGTGAAATTCTAATGAAATTAGGCTTTTGAATCACTCAATTTGACCTTATAATGAAGGAGATATGTAGGTTTTAAGATTTGCAAATAGAGTAGGTTTTTAATACGCCGTCAGGGGAAATTTTGACATTAACCTGAAAATCTGGGCAACCTTGGTAAAATGGCCATAAAATCCTCATACGATATCCAAATTCGACGATTCTTTTTGTTACGGTTCCGTAATTAAGATACGGATCTAATGCTTCATTCAAAACAGTAATCGGAGCTTATGTGTTTTTAATATAATATCATTTATGCTTGAAGAAACGACGTCGAAGCATTAGAAAAACGAGCACAACGCAGCCCAAACCTATCCGAAACTCACCCGAGCTCCTCGGGACCGCATACGAACATACTAACACGTCACATATGATCATTCAAACTTTGTTGCACTCTCAAAACACCAAAACTAACATCAAAACACCAAATTTACATCGGATTCAAGCCTAAGTTCTTCTAAAACTTCCGAAACATGTGTTTGATAAAAAACCCAACCAAATCACCTCCGAATAACCTGAAATTTTGCACACACATCCCAAATCACCTAACGAAGCTACAACAACTCTCAGAATTCCATTCCGACCCTCGCATCAAAATCTCACCTATCAACCGGAATTCGCCAAAATACTAACTTCGCCAATTCAAGCCTAATTCTACACCGGACCTCCAAAATCACTTCCGATCACAATCCTAAGTCACAAATCATCCCCCGAAGCTAACCGAATCGTCGGATCCACATCCGAGCCCTCTAACTCATAGGTCAACATTCGGTTGACTTTTGCAAAACAAGCCTTCCTTAAAAAGACTAAGTGTCTCATTTCCTTCAAAAAATCAACCCAATTTAACTCGTTCACACAAGACACTGATAATCTAGCATAACGAAGCAGGAAATGGGGGAAACGGAGCGATTCTCATGAGACGACGGGTTGGGTCATCACAATCCTGCAGCCACTGGTACCATCAATGAACCAAAACCTTGCGAGCAACATGCAAGACATGTAGAATATTCCGGGGAACCCACAGACCCTAATACCACCAAATATTCCTCTCAATCTTCCATTCTTTGCTTCGGAAGAGATGTCAATGGTGAACCCTATCTTCACTCGTTGGGATGTGCAACACCCCCACCTCCAACTGTCCAACAACAAGATCCACCTGCTCAAGCAGAAGAACTAGCTCAACCCCAACTACAAGAGAACATGCAAGAGCAAGAACAAGGTCCAGAGGAGAAGGAAGAACACATTCATCCCCAGGGGGAACCAAGAGTGGCATTCTCAAGCCTAAACAAGGTAAAAATTCTAATCTTCAAAGAAAGGCTCGACAAGAAATGCATCATGATTTGTCCAATGACCCTGTTCAGATGCTCAATCGATATAAGGACCCCACACGATCCAAAAGAAGGATTAAACGTGGTCATCCTAGTTCCATCCCACAAAAGGAACACTGCGATGGCAATAAGGGACAACCACCACAACATACTCACTCCCCCATCAATGAATCAACCAATTAACTTGTGCGAGGTGCTAACAACCCTAACTTCAGAAGGAACCTTAGGGAACTTATGGATACTCATAAGCCTAGTATGATTGCACTTCTGGAAACTACAATGGCCACTCATATATCCATTTTTGAGGAGTTCAACTTCAGAGAAATGATAGAAGTGTCAGCAGAAGGGCAGGCTGGTGGAATGGTGATTCTATGGAATCATAATAGGGTTGTAGTGAACAACTTCACTAGAAGAAATCAGGAAATCCATGCCATGATAAAGGTACAACCTAACCACAAATCTTGGTTATTTAGTTCTATTTATGCTAGTACTAGTAAGTATATATTCTTTGGCAAAACATATAAAATATTTCTGAAAATTATAAAGGGGCGTGGTTGATGGGGGGCGACTTTAATGATGTTACTAGAGCTGATGAAAAAATTGGAGGCAAAGCTGTTAATCAAAATAGAGCTAGAAAAATAATTGCTAGCCTTAACCACTATAAATTACTTGACCTAGGTTTCAAAGGGTCAAAATTTACATGGTCAAATCATAGGAAAAGAAATAAGGGATTAATTATGGAAAGACTAGATCAAGTGTATGCCAATATGAAATGGCTTGATCAATATCCCCAAGCCTCTATTATACACCTTCCTAAGATATACTCGGACCATAATCTTATACTAGTCTCCCTAAATAATATTTATAAAAACCGCATGGACAAACCCTTTAGATTAGAAACAATATGGTGCTGCCTTCCGAATTTTCTTAATCTAGTGGAAAAAAATTGGACTAACAAAGATCTACTAAATGCAACTACTTCTTTTGAAGAGGATAGAAGACACTGGAGTAAAGAAAATTTTGGTAGTATACATAAAAGAAAAAGAAAAATCCTGGCTAGACTATAAGGGATACAAAGAAGTCCTATTTATCTTACTAGTACTTTTCTCCAACAATTAGAGGACAATCTCACACAAAAATATAATGACATCCTCAAAGTGGAAGAAGACTACTGGAAATTAAGATTCAGAGTAATGTGGCTAAACGATGGTGATGCTAATACTAAATTTTTCCACATAAGTACTACAAATAGAAGAAGAATTAATAAAATAGTTTTCTTCAAGGATGACATGGGAAATTGGATAGATGGCCATCGAAGTATAATGACTCATACTATTAACTACTTCAAGGACCTCTTTGCCACCTCTCATTCTCATTCTAATAGGCACACAAACATAAAAGAGTCCCCTATAGCAACTAAAAATGATCTGTCGTGCCTAGACTTACCCCTTAATAATCAAGAAATTAGGAAGGCAATATTCTCTTTTAAACCCTACAAATCACCCGGTCCAGATGGTCTACACCCCTTTTTCTATCAAAAATATTGGAATACCATCAAGGATAGTGTAAATGTATTCTGTCACAAAGTTTTTAATGACTGTCGCATTCCTACAATCATCATCAATACTTACCTGTGCCTAATTCCTATGTTTGAAAATGCCAGTAACTTGAAAAACTTTAGGCCTATTAGCCTTTGCAACACCATTTATAAAATTATTACCAAAATCATTGCCAATAGATTATGACCTTTTCTCAATAATCTAATTGGTCCTCATCAAGCAAGTTTTATTAAGGGTAGACGAGCTTGTGATAACGCTCTTATTATTCAAGAAGTAGTTACTTACATTAGAAATTCAAAAGCTAAGGAAGGCAATATGATCCTTAAAATAGATCTTGAAAAGGCTTTTGATAAACTTGAGTGGTCCTTTGTTCATAGAACCTTAAAATACTTCGAATTTCCAATAAAAATCACCAACCTAATTATGTCGTGCATAACCACTCCTAGTTATTTTGTCCTAGTTAATGGTACCAAATCATACCTCTTTACCCCAACAAGAGGGATTCGACAAGGTGATCCAATGCCCCCCTACATCTGTATACTATGTATAGAAATGTAGTCAATCATGATCAATCACAAAATTAACATCAAGAAATGGGATGCTTCAAAGATTAACCCTATAAGTCCTACTCTATCGCACCTATTTTTTGCCGATGACATAACCCTCATAGGCAAATCTAATACTAAAACAACTCTCACAATGATCCAAAGCCTTAATAACTCCTGCCTTCTTTCAGAACAATCTATTAACAAAACAAAGTCTACATTATTATTATCTCCAAATTGCTCCAAAACAACTAGGAAAGAATTGTTTTCCATCCTGAACATCAAGCTTAGTGATAAATTTGGTATCTACTTAGGTTTCCCTATAATTAACTCCAAACCTATTCATAAAGACTATCAATTTGTGATTGATAGAATGAGAATAAAATTGGGAAGCTGGAAAGCTAGATGGCTAAATATGGCTGGTAGATGCACTCTAGTCACCTCCACTCTCAACAACATTCCAAATCATATCATGCTATACTCCCATCTCCCTACAAAAACAATCAAGTACATTGATAAGATACAAAGTGATTTCATATAGAACTCCACTCCCGATAAAAGAAAGATTAATCTCCTGAGTTGCGACTCAATTACGAAGGATAAACAAAAAGGGGGACTAGGAATTAGGAAAGCTAGAAGCAAAAACACAACCTTACATACTAGTCTAGCTTGGAGATTGATAAACACTACCTCCCTATGGACCCAAATTTTAGCTAGTAAATATGCAAATACTAGAAATAAAAATCATCACTCATTCATTTGAAAAAGTATACTGAAAGGCTGGTACTACTGCAATAAAGGAACTGGGTGGGACATAAGCAATACCAATCTTAACATTTGGGAATCAAATTGGATTCCTAATATTAGTAACTTAAGAACTTCTATCGAAGGACCCCTAAACCTTAATGAAGACAAGCTCACAATTGGTAAGATAATTTCGGGGAAAAATTAGGACCTCACAAAGTTATCTTTTGAGCTGCCAAACAGCATCTTACATAACATAAACGCTATCATGAACTACAACATTCCTAGGGCTGATTCTCACCGTAATATCTGGAGTCTCAGCTCAAACGGGATGTTCTCTACCTCTTCGTGCTATAAGCTCATTGATAAATACGAACCTTGCGACAAAGATTACAACTGGCTGTGGAAACTTCAATGTCCAAACAAAATAAAAATATTCATCTGGAAATGCTATCATAATAGGATCCCCACAAGGACCTATCTAGCCCATACAGGGATAAACATTAACCCAAAATGTCCCACATGCAAATTACACGATGAAAATATTCATCATATTTTTTGGGATTGTCCTACTATCAAACACATCTGGACTGACCTTGGAATACACATCAATTCCACCCTAAAAGACCACTGGATAGACCAAATAAGGAATGCAAATCATACTTTCCTCCATACACACTTTAAATGGGAGAATCTTTATCCGTTCGCAATTTGGCTAATCTGGAAAAATAGGAACAACAATAACCATAATAATACTAACTATAGCCTAAACTGGAAACTGTTATAAAGCACGTTGTTGAATATATCCTTCTTACAAAGAAAGGTATCAATAGTACAGTACAAAAACAAATAAAGATACACTGGCATAAACCACCTAAAGGCTGGTACAAATTCAATATTGATGGTGCTTTCATTGGAAATATTTTCCAAGGTGGTATAGGTGGAGTAGCAAGAAACAACACAGGAAGCTGGATACTAGCTTTTCACATGAAAGTTCCAACCTTATCAGTAACACAAGTGGAGCTCCAAGCCCTAAGAGGATGCCTGCAAATCATAATGCAGCACAATTTAACGCCAGTGAAAATAGAGACAGATGCATCAGAGACTATCAATATGTTAGACAATGACCACCATACTTACCCAAAACTAATCTATGAATGCAGGTGGTTGATGAAACAAACAAGGAGGAAGGACCAGGTTGTACTCAGGCATAGCTTCGGGCAAGGGAACGGGGTGGCACATGCCTTGGCAAAAATGGCACTGATGCAGACCAACATAAATAAAGTCTCCCTTATGGCAACTCCACCGGAACCAGCAATACAACCGTATCAGAAGGATCTGGAGGGTTTTTATTTTGTTAAATATGTTTGTGCTAGTACTTGTTTGAAGTTGGTTGCTTTAGGAAACTTAGATGCCTTGTATGGCACTGATAATATCATGTAATATGTTGAATGTTTAGTTATTAATATTATGTCCTTTTCGTTCAAAACAAAATGTTCTAAATTAAGATTAATAACAATGTTTACCGTTAAAATGGTAATAACTATTAAATTTGTTGATGGGACTCTAAAAATACGTGATATATTTTTTTGCTAGTTGTAGAGCAGTTGATGCTATGTATATGAAGTTTAAGGTAGAGATGCAAACTAAAATGGAGTCGTAATCGAACCGAAAGATAGCTGTTCAGGGCCTCGAGCTAGTCGATTTAGGGCCCTCGAGGTCGATTCCCGAGACCGGTCTCGGGCTATTAGGGCCAGCCAGGGAAGGGCTAATAGATGCGATAATTTTAAAGGAGGCTCTTTATGGCCGATGATAAGCAATAAATGAAGAACAAGTATGAAGATAATATAATAGAGCAACAATATCGAGAGAGTGTATTAGAGAGAAAAGAGAGAGAGAGTTATCATATATTTCATGTAGAGTAGTTAGAGCAACATCAGTTCTCTACAAAATAGTAAGGATCCCCATTATATAGGAGAGGAAACCTAACATAGTATGAGAGCATTAATTACGAAGATAAGGGTGATGGGACAACTCGATAGCACCAGGCTCTGCCAGTGCTAGTTGCACGCCTTGGGAACTCCCCATCCCCGATATTACCATTAGGTCGGGTGTTCGTGGACTTCGAGGGGGAGAACTCGACTGAAACCTTACAACCTCGAGATCTCGAGATGATCTCCCAGAAATGCAATGCTGAAGAGAAATCGGGCCATCCAATTTTACCGTATGCAGATAGTCTCCGCATTTCCTATAACGAAGTAATAGCAAACGATTTTGAATTGCCATTTCGAGGGCATCATTGCCCTGACGTCATCCTATAAAAGCATTAAATGTCGTATCCCAGAAAACCGTGCAAGGGTCGCTGTCAAATTTGATTATCGAGGAACCCACAAACTGTCTATCGGCTCGTCCTTTCCGCTGCCCAAGCGGTTCCTATAAATATATCGACAGTTTGATACTCTGCATCTTCAAATTCACGAGTCAAAACCCATCATCTTTTACACTCTTCCATCTTGTTTTAGAGAAAAATTTTACCACTGATATTGCTAGGACTTCTAGAACGGTCCCTCGGCGGAACGAAGTCGCATAACCACCTCGATCGCCTAAAGAGAAAACCAAAGCAATACCTTCCTTGGAACAGTGCACTCTACCCAATCATGATATGTCGAAATATTTTACCATCGATGCTACTTCATCTACACCGGGTCGATGTGAACATGTGTCCCGATACATTAGCGTCGTGACTAACATATGAACGGTGAGGACAGACTGCCGATCGAGCAAGGCAGTTGAGGTGGAGATTCCCAATCCTAATGAGAATATAATGGACTATAAGGTCGACTTCCTTCACGTGTATACCTACCCTTTCACCTTGGATCTTGATAATTATTCTGAATCCTCTCCCCCGGAGATAGACCCGGTAATCCTTGACTTATGCGACAAGTACCAAGTGATGCTTGGTTAGATCTATCCTTCTTTCTAGAGGATAGTATTGATGCTCCGTCATTTCACTGAAGGGGTTGAGGGCGAGACCTTTAACCTCAACCATTTGATTAGGACGTATAGCCCTTGATTTTATCGAGGTTTGATCAGGCTCCATCATCGATCCAAAAAATCATTTTTCTCGAGCGTCGACGAGGGAAAGGATCGAGGGTGGATGAGCAGGTTCGTCCGGGTAAAGACCTCGGATATCATCCTGGCCCGGAGGATGTCTTTTCCGGAAAAATGGAACACACAGCGTAAGCAGTATTCCCTTAACCGCGTTTTATAAGTAATATTTTTCTTTTGGAATAACGACCTCTCTCGGCCTCCTATAGCTGTAGCTTGGTACCCCGAGGCGGTTCCGAGTTTGCCAGGATGGATCAAATGGTTAGACAAGGCATTCCTATACCTTGTTCGGTCCTGCACCGACCTTGCCAAGGAGCTATGGGTGGCCAAGAATCATGGTAGAGTTTCCTTACCGCCTGTGCCTCAGATTTGTGTTTCTCCCAGCGTCCTTGTGAAGATAACTTGCGGTTACTGCATTTGTGTAGGTCTTGGCGAGAATATGCTGATGAGGCCGCCTCCTGGCGACGAAGTGGAGGCATCGGAGCTCGGCAAGGGAAAGAAGAGGGAAGGTAAGGCGGCTATTGATCTTCTTGCGACAAAGAAATCTAGGTCACTCAAGCATCAAGCCGCTACTAGGACCTCTGCTTCAATTGTAGGGGAAAATCTCGGTGCTGAGGATGAGGACGACGATGAGTGTCCGTTTGTATGGAGGACGAGGTCTAGTGTGGGAGCCTCGCAGGTGTCTCGATCGGAGGCCGGTGAATCTGGGACGGCCGACTCGGGTCGATCTTGTAGACCGAAGACCCTTAAGGAGGGTGTTAATGTGGCCTCGGATCGCAAGACTGTGTTTGGCGCAATTTCCGCTAGGGAGACCGTTGCCATCGATCCTGAATGGTCGGGGCCCAAAGCTTTACAGGAGCAGGGGTTGCCTCTTGGGGAATTCGACGACATGAATGATTTCATCTCGTGCTTTAAGGTCTCGTCAGGGGAACTAAGGGACGCTCGAGATGCGAACGTCGTCAAAACGGGGATGCCTCTCAATAGGGGAGGCTCACTTGCCAACATCTTTGGCAGTGTTAGTGATAACATCGATTTTGACGTTCCTGGCACCATTAAGGCGGCAGAGAGATCCATGCAGCAGGTGATAGCTGTCTTTCGTATACCTCTTTTAGTCTCGGGTGTCGTTATTCATTTTTCTTTTCTAACTCTTCTGTTGTGCCGTAGTGCAAGGATATGTACGGTCATGCCATCTTTCAGCTCCGTGAGGAGCTTTCTTACCGTGAGAAAGAGTGCAAGAATCTTGCTTCGATGCTGCGGGAGTCGGAGGCTCATTCTGCCCGAGGAGAGAAAGAATCAGGAAAGCTCTGAGCCGCTTTGGAGAGAGCATTCCAGGAAAAGGCTGATCTCACTGCGCAGGAATTTAGTCCTGCTTGTACCCGACCTTTTCACCCATACTTCGATGCAGATTGGCTTACTTTTCTTTTGCAGGTTGAGCAAAATGATTTGCAGATTCGTCGACTGAACGCGGAGATCCTCGGGCTTAGGAAGCAAAGCGAGGTAGCGACAGCAGAACTGGCGTCATCTCATGATCTTCTCGAGGATGCTCCTAAGGAGATCACTGTATTGAATGAGGCCATGTCCGAGATTGAAAGAAATGCTGCGACTTATCTGGAGGATGCAGCAACGGCGCACAAAATAGGTTGTGACATATCGATAGCAGTTGATCAGAAACTAGCTCGGGTTATTAAACATGCTAGAGCGGAGGCGAGGACAAAAACCCTGGAGGAGATTGAGGCCAGGGGCGTCGATCTGTCAGCTGATCTCGGGGAGGCCCATGAATTGGAGAGAGAGTTGGCGCTTTTGATTGCCCCCGATGAGGACGAAGATAGCGTAGATGAAGAGTAGTCCTTACGGCGTTTTGCTTCCTTTCTTTTTTCTTTTGTATGTAATCCCCGGGGGATGGATTTTGTAAAGATGTCTCTTATAGATATGTTTTTGGCAATGTAAAAAGGGGATTTTTCTTCTTTCCGTCTTCTTTTTGTTCATTTGCACTCGTGATTTTAACCTTTTGACTTTCAACGTTAGCCTTTCGAAATTCGTTCATGGAGTGATCGGGATCCTTAAATCAGGTCGTGCCCCAGATCTAAATCGACAGCTTCTATCGATATCGGGGAGCCCTCGAGGCCTCGCAGTTTCTCTAATTCTGCGGGGCAACAACATTTGCTCAATCTGGTAAAAGGGGGGCCCGTAGCCATTATGTCAGTACGTTTCCCTAGGAGAGGGTGATGTTAACGCGGCCAGGATTAATTGGCCTTTTGGGTAGGCGGGCAGTTGCTGCTTTGTCCCTATATATTCGTTCATTTGCCTTTTCAATGGCGACTCTGCTGCTTTGAGGGATACTCCTTTCAAAGAACCTGGCATTTTATGCTAGTTCTTCCATTGTTTCAACTCAGGATTTTTGTCCAAATCCTCGCCCTTCTCCTCCTATCCCATTGTAGCCATGACTGCTACATCGACGTCCGAACGCCAAGGAGAGGGGAGTTCTTCTTACTCTACGTATTCGGTCAGTGATAGCCACATACCGCCGGTGCCTGGTGAGCGAGTCTCGAGGTGCCTTGCCTCGAGGAGAACCATCATGTCGGGGAGGCCTCCCAATGTTCCGGGTCACCGGGAGCACGTGTCGAGGATCATCTCATCAGTGGGAAAGGAAAACCTCGAAATGATCAGAAAAGATTGCGGATGGGGAGAAGGAGTGGTATTACAAGTACCTTCTTCCGAGGAGAGCATCATGACATATGTTGAGGGGTTTTTGAGCATATACACACATATTTTTGCATCGGGTCCCCCCGATTGGGTCGTACTTGATTTCTGTCGGGGGTATCTAGTTACCTTGGCGCAGGCTCACCCCTCCCTTGCGAAAATAGTGCAGACAATGAGATATTTTGCCGATAAGTCAAGGATTGAGTTTACCCTTAGCCATCTCGTGAGGTTATATCAGCCACTTGCATTATCGGGGTTTGATCGCTCTATAATGTTGATCTACCCGAGTCCCTATTGCCAGTAGTGATAAGGGCAAGGACCGTGGATGGATGAATCGGTTCGTTCAGATTGGAACGACCGATGTCATCCCTAGAGAATTTTTGCCATTTCCTGAGAAGTGGAATTTCACACGTAAGTGTCTCTCCTGAACTATCATCGTTTTGAATGGAGGCGGGCACCGTAATGATATCTTTTCGTTCCATATTTGTAGCAACTTAATGGTAGCCCAACGAGGTCCCCGATTTAGCCTAGTGGTCTCGTAAGTTGGCAGCTTGAACGTTTTACGATAAGCGCTGATGGCGAGATCTGTCCAAAGGGAGATGGGAGGCGAAGCATCATGGTAGGTGTCCGGTGTC